TGTCAAATTAATACTAATTCTAATAATATAATAAATAATAATTATTTTATAGTTTTATTTGATATTTAAAAACCAAAATTAAAAGCATAATTAATTAGAATTTTAAATTAAAAAAATTAATTTTTGTTAGGTTATTTTAGGTTGATCAATTCAATCTTGACTTAATCTTTAACGGTTTAATTTAATTTTTAATTAAATTTAATTTTACCAAGTTTACTCCCCTTAATGTTTAAAAGTAATATAATTCAGGTATGATGGACTGCACAATAGCTTGTTATTGGAAATATGGCCATTAGCTGCCGTTAGAAGTCTTGCTTTGGCATTTTGTGTTCTTAATTAACTAGTATTTTAATTAGTTAAACATAATGAAATAAAGATTTTAGAATGAAAATACGAATTCCAGTTCGGTCAACACGTGAGCAAATTCCAATTTTTTTGAATTAATCATTGATACCTCGTCCGAATATTATAAATTTTGGTTTTCATCAAAAAGAAAAAAAAGGTATTATAAATTTTGGTTTTCATCAAAAAGAAAAAAAAGGTATTATAAATTTTGGTCAGTGATTGAATATGAAAATTTTCTTCATTATCTTATTTGATTTGAAATTAAAATTTGTCAAATTAAAATGAATTAAATGATGGAGAAAAAACTGAATTAATATAAATTGATTTAAATATTGTTTTTCTTTATTTATTAATTTTTGGGGATTCATATTTATCATTATTATTATTATAATTGATATTATTATTACTAGTAAAAAGCAATTAATGTTAAAATATTTATTTTTTGGGAATTGAAAGATGTACTAAGATCTTTCATTAAAGAGAAATAAAGTGTTAAAATGCACTCTATATATATGTGTATGAACATCCATAAACTCAACAAGCATATATTTAAATTTTAAGGTAGCGTCTACACATATATATATTCGTGCTTTCTCACATGCTTGCACCTCACTTGACTATTTAACAAGTGGTATTAAAACCAATGGTGTGATCAATGACTACCCAAGTGGTATTAGAGCCAATGGTGCAATCGGAAAACCAGAGACTCACATCTTCACGTGTGAAGTGCGTTGGGTGAGGATTGGTAAGGATGGGACCTCTGTAAGTTGAGTCGAGTTGAATTTTTTAAAACTCAAACTTGATGTTACAGCAGCCTCAACGAGTTGAAGTCTTTTATTAAGTTAAAATATACTTAGCTGGAGTTTGACTCATGAGATTAAGTCACAAATTCGATCTCGACTGTAAACTCAATTCGTGATATCAATTAATTATTTAAATTTAATTTAAGTTTAAATTAAAATATTTAATATTTAACATTTAATCATTTTTTAATGTAATTTAATTAAGTTGAGTTTTGGGTTCAAACCAAACTCGACATGACTCAATTTTTGGAGTTTAAACTTAAGCTTGAGCTGTGTATTTTCGCAAGTAACTCAACTCAGTTACAGCTATACATGCTTCCAAGCAATGAGAATCACTGGCGTAATATCTTTTGTTTTATTTCAAAATTATTAAATATAATCTTGAAGACAATGTCAGTCCATGCTTGAAAACTGGAAGATAGTCGATGATTTTGTTATGTATTGTAAAGATAGAAGTCCAATCAAAATGAACCTAAAAGATTAAGGATTGCAAATGAAATTTTCAGAATTGATGGGATGAATAACTACGAGAATTAATCATATATATTCATAAATTATTGCTACTTTACATTGGTTATTAATGAATGGATTGTAATCTATGTTTCTGACATCTAATTAATTAATCATTTATTAAGGCACAAGTTAAAAAAACTGTAAAGCTATTAGCTCTACAGGATTTCTCTTATATTTGCAGGATCAAAAGGCAATTTTTTAAAGTGCAAACTCTAACCTAGTTGCTTAAATGAAAGACAATAAGAAAAACAACCTGAGTTTAAAGGGTTAGCAAATGAGACACACCACAATCACAGGAATTCAGACTCCAATTGCCATACAATCTCCCAGCAGGTACATGCATTTTAGTTGCCCTTGATCCTGGAAGTCAATGGAGGCAAGGAAAGATAAATAGTGAGGAGACTAATAGTTGAAGAAACAAGAAATAATGACCACCAATTTAAAGCAATAAAAAGAATATTAATAAAAAAATAAAAGAATAAAATCAATTGCTATGCTTCCCTCTCTCTTTTTTGGACGGAAGCTTCCCTATTTAATGATAAGAGTTTTATGCTTAAATATATGCATTGAGAAGAATAAAACTTCATAGACCCTTTTTTTTTTTTTTTGATAGAATTCATAGACCTTAAAAGATTCCAAATTCTCTAGATTGGAATGCTATCCTACCAGTCTTCTTAAGAAATTGTGACGTTCAAGGGAACACTGAAATTCTGACTCAATGACTATCCCCATCAAAGATGCAGCGAATGGTTTGATGCAATCTCAAATCACAAACTACCTCGATCATGGCTAATGACTACAATGGGCATTAGGGAGTACCACCGTACCTCTGTCTGCTGAAAGGCTTAAGACCTGTACTCTCTGACATGCATCCACTTTGGAGCTGCCCATTTGTTCCCACTAATTACAGGACATGCACCTAGAATCAAAAGTAGGTTAACTTATTAAATCAAAAGTGGATGACAAAAAACTCACCAGAGAGATAAGCAATTACCAACCATGCAAACTCGAAGGGTCTAGTGTGGCATCAGGCCTCATGCTCCAAAATAGTATCGCATCTCCCATCTTTGGCTTCACAGCAAGACCGCCTTTACCACACTCAGACAACTCATTCCACCAAGGCACAGCACTGATATTTCCCTTGGCATTAGGAAACACTGTCTCGCCTCCTTCCTCAACATCTGATCTGCAACAGTAGGATACAGTATGGAAGGGGGGAAATGAATCCACAAGTTCCTTTGCAAGGTGCATCCAAATAAAAATAAAATAAAATTAGGGAGTTAAAGTGCATTGAAGACATTAAAAAATACATACAGATACATCAACATAGTAGCCATCCGCTGTCCTCCATTCTTGGTGTTAAACTCATCAATAAAATAATCAAAGTGAGGTTCATATTTCTGTCCAACTTCATAATGAAGAACTTGAAGCTCTTCTCCATGCTCTGTAGATTTAAAGTTAGCTTAAACTGCAGCCTTAAAGCATTAAAAGATGTAAATGATATATGCAAAAACCAGGGAAAAATCAAAACATATGATGGTAGAAGGAAGAAACAGGAAAATTGTGGACAGAAAGCAGTGAAATATCTAAATAAGAAGGATGTAAGCATGTCATCATCATAAATGAATTAGAATGAAAAAATCAATGAAGAGGTCTTACTTCACATCGAAATCAAATACCTATAGGTATAAAAGTGAATTCTGCTATCCTTTTCTCTATGTCCCTGACGATTTTATCTTGTCCTCTCTTTAGAAACATTCCTGAGCTTGTACGTACCCTGGAGGATAATGGATGTCACTTAAAATTTTGCTAACCATACTCTGAGTTTAACAAATAACTATCCCCCAAAACAAAATTGCATTCAATGAAGCTCTATTTCATTTGCAGAAAAAAGGGAAAAGAAAAATAAACGCACACACACACTGAGTTATATATATGGGCAGCAATATCGAGATTTCAATTTGTTATTTCATTCTCAGATCTTAACATTTAATCTCAAGCAATTATATTCTGAATCTCTTCTCTTCTGTGTTTTACTGATTTGCATCAAATGCAACGAAGGGAGGATAAGCTATCCTGACCTGCTTTCTTTACCCCCACCAGTGTTATTATCAATGACAGATGACCTCGCCATATGAGGTTTAGCAAGACTTATAAGGTACTCACACTCTTCCTTGGACTGTCAAAATAAGTGTATAGTCAATATCAACTGAAAAACTAAATTCATTTTTATTCTCTCAAAATAGATGCATTTAGAAAAGATTACAA